TTTTCGTTTTTAATAGCATCGCTGGAATGCCAATTATGCCAATACTTGTAGATATAGCGCGAAATGCAAAATTTTTTCAAGTCGAACGATCGTGTGTAATGTGAATCTCGCATTACATATTTATTTTTCCCATTTATTATTGAACACGTATTTTCTCTCTGAGGCAAAGTAGTTTTTTCTTTTTGTAACTCGTTAATCGAGGAACAATTTTATAAAATAGTTTGTAGCGAATTGTGTTATTAAAAAGTAACACCGTTATTGTGATCATATTTTTTTATGATTAAAGTAGGCCTTTCGTTTATTTTTACGTATTATTACTATTGATAATATATTTCCAAAATAACATAACGATGAATCGAATTCGCTATATACCATCGATATATCGATTTTTTTTAATAATTTTGCGATAAACTATTGAGAACTTTTATCTTTTTTTTTTCGATGTTTCTTTATGAAAATATAGATGGATGCAAAAATTCTGTATATTATTCTTTTAAAAGAACATTGTCACGAACTTTTTAATAATAATTAATTATAAAAGATTAAATGTAGTAATATAAAGATTATATGTAGTAATAATAAAATGTAAAGGGATGATATAAAAATAAATAAAAAGAAATTAAAAATATAATGTTATAATTTTATTAAAATATTTGAACGATTTTGATTATTAATTATAGATTATTAATTAATAGAATATTATTAAAATAACTGATGAAAAATCATTAATAAGATTATTACTTCTTCGATACAAAGTGTGATTTTATATTGTGATTGGTCATTACAGAAATTTCCTGCGGTACATATATGTTCATTTAAAAATAACATTGTAAAAATATTTACAATGTTACTCATTGACAAGGAATGGCATAATATAATAAAGTTAGAAAAACTTTCGATCAATCCCATATATATATATATATATGCGTTTCAAAGATATATTTTTTAAAAGTGACGCTTTTAAAATATATAATTTATTTTATATAAATTGGAAAAGAATCACATTACAGTTTGCAAAGAGTTAAGAATAAAAAATTAAAATTTATTTTTTTTACCATCATTATTTATTTGATAAATAACATAAAACTTATAAATATTTTATTTTTTCTTTTTTTTTTTTAGAAACATCATTTTCGAAATATCTGTGCGATATATATATATATATATTATTATATATATAATATGAATGCATATGATCCTATAAATGTACAATTTTTGAAAAAGATTGATTAGTCATGACGTTGAGTCTGTGTGTTCGGCAATTTCATTTATAGACAAATATAATAATTTATTTTATTAAACAATGACGATTTAATTTCCTCGGTAACGAGATACATACATAAATAAATTGACCTCGGAGAGAAATTAAAGATAGATATACATATATATACGGCGAGGAAGATAATACAGAAATAAAGGTGTTCCGTGTATCAAGAACCACCTAGGAAATTGACATTTCGCAAAAAGATGCACCCTAATGTTGTTCGCATATATTTTTTTTCTCCCATAATTCCACGAGTAAAAATCTATATATAATTGTCTTTTGACGGTCAAAGGTGACGCGATACTATTTTTTCATTTTGTCACTAGATATGTATAAAAATCACGTTGCGAAATGGAAATATGTTCGATGAGCGTGAAACATTTTTCTTTTCTTATGCGATGAAAAATAGAGAATCGTACTATTTGTTTCGTTCGATTATAAAATTTTCAACGTACATTGTGCAATGCGTTATAATTGAATTCCTCTTAGCGAAATAACGAACAATAAATATATAGATACAATTTTCACAGTGGATATAAAAAAATAATTATTTCCATAGATAAATATCACGTAAATCTAGAATTGATATTGCGTATAGAATTATTTTATTCATTGCCACGTCTGTATTATAATCTTTTCGTTTTGATTTATAAGATATATTTACATTTTTTAAATAAGATTAATCGAAAAACAGTGATTAATTATAAAAAATTAACTATTTATAAAAAACGAATGATCAAACAATTTAATAAAATTTATTAAAGAGAGATAAAAAAAAGCGACGTTACTTCTCGGTGCCCCTAATATTATAGATACATAAAAATTGTTTATCAAACATGTTTGTTCTATTATATGAAAATTTTTTTATCCAAATACTTGATTCATTCGTATAACATACTTTTTATTCGTTCTATCGTATTTATAATTCAAAAATATTGGTCCATTATCGAACAATTACTCGTCTGTCGTTTCTTTTCTTCTTTCCTTATCGAATTTAAACGAACGAATCGAGTTTAGGAGAAGTTGACATCGAGTCTCAATTGTACGATTTATTAATAATCTTTTTTCGAACACGCGTCATTGGATCTTGTCACGCTTATAAGCGTCCTAATGGATTCTGTACTTTGAGAGAATACAGGTTATCGATTTCTTTGTTACTCGTTGTAGCACTTTCCAATATTGTTCCCTTGTAACGAGACGACTTTGAAACGCTCCGTAACACACGAATTAACGACGAACTGTATCACTACTGGCAGATATAGTAAAATATCGATCGCGATTTTCGTGCAAAAAAGAAGAAAAAAAAAATATGTGTGTATTTTGTATGTCGAATATACTATTTTTTAAAACAAATTCAAGCGCAACTTTTTTTCTCGATTTTTTTCTAATTTTGGAATAAGTTATACTTCAAAGTACATTTTTCGATAATAATTATTTACGTTTTCGCGCAAGATTGGACACTTTTTTATTTGAAATAGAAATAAATAACGAATAGAAAAAAAAATTTCGAATAAAATAAAAAAATAATAAATAATTATTTGATATAAATAATAATATTTGGGAATAAATTCTAAAAATCTTATTTAAAGAATAAATTATTTTTAAACAATGTATTTATTAAATATTTATTATTTGATTATTTCGAATAACGAGAAAACAAAAGAAAGATAAGAAATAACATAGCATTTAACTTTATTCCCTTTTACCGTATTTTGAATGATACCATTCTACAACGTTCAACGTACATATATGAATTACATCGCAAAAAAATTATAGGATCATGTGTATTCGATGATAGAAATAATTTTAAAAAGAAAAATCTTTCTCCGTGAATTGAGAAATTGATAAACGTTAAATAAGAACGCGTTAATCACACTCGCTATCTTTGGCCGTCAAGAGAGTTAAAGGTTCGTTTCGTCTTGGGCCGAAACGATGGCGTGCGCGATACGATAATCGTATTCGGGTGGAACGGAAAAAACAAAATTATATGATCATTTTCTAATAGTGAAAAAAATTTGCCTTTATATAATATTCTAAGATTTTCGTGTAAAAGATTTTCATGTAAATTTCTATAAAATTAATTTTTAAAAGTTCTAAATTTTAATTTTTTATTTTCTTTTAAAACATATTTTTTAACTTTTTAATTTTTATTTTTATTTTATATTATTTTATATTATAAATTTGTTGATACGTTTCAAAATTAATATATATAAAAATATGTTCGAAATATTATATTATTACATAAATAATGTTGTGTTAAAAATATAGTAAAATAATTATATGTATGCTTTATTTTTAATTTCGATGATATATTAATAATCATATTTGTTGTTTACGATTTACAATACAATATTTTTTTTACAAATATTGTTCTTTATTTAAAAAATAATATTTTTCATTTTCTTTTAAACAAATTTTTTTAATGTTACTTTATGCGATCGTATTTGCATTTTCAACGATTTGCAATGATTTCAGAAGTTTTGCGTTAGATAAAATAAGATAATAATCATCGATATCGTATACATCGATATATTTTTAACAATTAAATTATTTATTTTTTTTTATACTTCTTTTCTTTCCAATTTGAAAATGCTTTTTTATTAAAGTTTATTTATCATATAAATTATTAAAGCTGAGATAATTCGATTTTATTTATAATGAGTGATCTTTTTCAATAAAACTAAAACTAGATCTTTAATACAACATTATTTATGAAATGATCTAAATATAAATTTGAAAATTAAAAATTCTTATTTCTCTAATAATAATTCTCTTTAATCTATTTCAAATCTAATTCAAAATTAATTTTTATATAGGAAGAAACATTATTTTCTAAAAACTGCATTATTATAAAATAATTTTAAAAAATCAACGAAAATAATTCTTAAATGGTATTATGGAGCGATCTTAAAAAATTGATCGATAGTTTATATATATATACATAGAAGGCAACGTTTGTTCGCTATTAGAAGTCATGATAATAAAAAAGAAAATTTTGTTTCTATATTCGTTCCACTCTAAACCATAAATATATCTATTTTTCACGAATTATTTTCCATGATCGAGACCTGCTCGAAGGAAAAAGATTTTCAAACCTAATCGATCTATAGGGCCGCATCGTTCGCGCTCTTTCTATGTAAAAAAGAACGTTATTAGAACATTGACGCATTTCATGATAATTTGTCTTTGTCCCCATATCCGTCGAATATTCAATCGTGATGACATCGTATCGTAAACATCGCATAATTCGGAGAAACACGGAGATATTCTTACAATAAAAGATAATAAAAGAACGCTCATGATGATCGAGCGATCCGTCCGTTCATTGTTATTTATCGATCAAATTTTATCGTTTTCGAATTCCGCTTTTTGAAGTCTATGAAATCCTTCGAAGACAAGACAAAGCGGCAAATTATATTTTTTTTCTTTTTTTTTTTTTTTTTTTTTT